GATACACAGTGGAGGGCTGATAAGTTGCGGAGTGCGTTAGAAAAGAAAGGTGCAAAGGTTGAGTGGAAACTTTTGAGCTGCTTTCTTCGATGAAAACTTAAGATTCCAGTTCTATCACCTCATCTTCTAATGCTTCAATGCTATGGTTGTAAAGTGAGCAGGGAAAAGAGCTTTGGTGCCTTTTGGTGTCTTTAGTTTCTACAACAAATATTTGTTGTCACCAATCAAGTTCTTTTCCTGCTGCACAGGTCCAAAACATTGAAGAGTCGAGGAAAATGAGTTGGATAACAGGGAAGAAAAAGTCACTGGGAAACCATTGTGCCAAAGGCCAAAACCAGGATGCAAAACTCAAGGAGAGACTGAAAAATGCACAACAGGTAAAGATTAGTATTTACCAAGAGCATATCTGGGTTCCAACAAAAGTTCTAGTCATCAGATTCTCTGACAGACTAATATATTTTTGATAATTATAAATTAGCTTTTCCTCTTTAAGCTGGGCTTGATTCATAATGTGTTGCTTTTCTTGTATTCACTTTGCCTAATTTTCAGCAGAATTGCATCTGGCTTTTGCTGACTGGTTTCTTCCAGGAAAGCAAGAAAGCAAACCTTGGGGACAGACATCTTCAGTTCTTTCAAATCCTGTTATTTTTTCATGCATCTCCCTCAGTCTGCAAGGACTCTTATAGTCCAGGTCAGAATTTCCAGCCGTCCTTCTGGCTCATGGATAACGCAGCTCTATTAAATATACTTCCTCTGGCTGTGCTCCATAAAAGTAATGAATTTTCTGTTCATTTCCCTTCTTGGTTTGGAAGGTAGGTAGAAGTCTATTGCCAATGCCAGTTATTGACATGAAAGAAGTATGAACTCCATGAGCATGAGAAGAGAACAGGAGTGCCAGGAAAGAGGCTTTCATTACTGCTACGTGTCCCTACATTTACTGAGCTGTTCGGCCTGTTCTCTGCATTCATGGTCTTGATAACATCTTAGAGCTCTGCTGGCTTGGTTTTGTTTACTATCAGATATTTGACAAAGCAGACTTACAGGATCCATCTCTCTGGACTCCTCCACTGGGTCTGCTGTGTCAGGACAACCCTGCAGTGCACTCAAGTGCACCAAGTGCATGTCTGCAGAAGAGCTGCACCACATTACAAGCAGTTTTCCATTGCTGAGGACTACTTACAGCCCTTTTTATGTACAAGCTTCCATTTCAAACAGTATTTGCTGTCCAAGAACTTCTAAATTTGCGGTGTTAGCCCAATATATTTTCCCTTGAGTCAGTCCTTTTCCCATTATTGGGCTGTATTTGGTTTGTCGTGTGCACCATCTTCCAAGGATTAAGGGGGGAACCTGCAAGGAGCAGGTGTGTGCCCAGCTAGGGAGCTGTACCCATTCGGAGCCATTTTGTCCCTGGGTGGCTGAGTGGGACAGCTTGGGCTTAAGAGAGAGGCAGGTAATTTGGTCCATGCTGTGTGACTCTGCTGCTGTGGTGAGCAGCGACAGAGCAGACTTCGACCTGTCTGCGTTCCAGCTGTGTTAACACATTAGGTGTTTCAAAGTGTTGTGCTTTCTGGACGTTTAAAGCCATATACCTTGGTTTGCTTTTACTGAAGCTTGGTTACCAGATCTTCTGGAAAAGTATTGGCAGTATGCAATGCAGAACAGCCTGCTAGTTCTGTGGTGCTGTTTGGAAATTGGCTATAGAAGGTGCTTGTGGATGATGGAGAGGGTAACTACAGGAAATGCCTCTTGTGTAGGCAGATAGGTGCAAAAAGTACCACTCTCCTCTAGCCAGTTTTGGCTCCTGCACAGAGAAAATAAACCAGCCCCTAGTCACACACATTCCTTAGATGCAGCCTCTGGCAGTGTAAGGTCTGCAACATCAGGAGAAGATCCCTTCAGTGTATTGAAAATAAAATGGCCCCTCTACTCATCACAAAAATCAAACCATCTTTCCCTAGTCCCAGCTTCACAGCATTGTGTCTCCTCTCCTACACGTACAAAGCACAAGTTCTGACCTAGATGGAGGTCTGAGCAGAGAAGTGCACAGTGCATGATAGAGAAGGTGTAGGAGCTGCTACCCTCCCATGGGGATATTCCAGCACATGCCAGCTGGCTCTACAGAGTGGCTGGTAGAGACTCATACTTACAAGGGATGTCCTACAAGCAGGTAGAAACCTGTGCTTGGGCAGCTGAAACCGAGCAACCTGCATGCAATAACTTAAGGCAATTAGTTCCTCTTCCACATCAAACTGAGTATCCAGGCACACGCGGACCCCAGAGGCAGTCCCCAAGCAAGGCTGTATGTCTTGTGCTTACCTGACTACCAAAATGACAATCGCAGGAAAATCACATCCAGAAGGGCTTTGCAGGTAACCATATTCTAGTCTTCTACTTGAAATCTCTATCTAATTCACCTTTCAGTTGTCATCTGTCTGTTTTTTATAAGAGCATCTTAAATCATACTTCACACCACCCTTCTCATTCATCCTCCTAGCGAAAGCCCAGTGTTTCAAGAGGGTTCAAATCACTGTTTATAGTTCTGCCTACTCAATTGACAGTACCATCTGCAAATTAATTCAGCATTGTGTTTTCGTCCTTCTCCAGGTCACTGCTGAAGATGTGAAAGGCAAATGGGCTTATATTGATCTTTTCAGTACAAATCAGAATAATTTAACATCGTGTTTCTTGATGATCTCCTAGTTGTTTCCTTACGTGTAACCGCTACCAGCCACACCAGGGATCCCATATATGGGATCTACCAGCCATTCCAAGATCCCATATGAAAAGTTTACTGTAATAAACTTGTCTAACTTACTTGATTTATGAGTTAAATTTTAGTAGTGTGTTTCTTCTTATTACTTGGATATGCTTGCACTCAGGTGCAACACGGCATCAGGAAAGACTGTACTGAAACTTAGGATCATAGAGTAAGTACTATGCAGAACTGGGAGGTTTATGTTGTGCTGGAGAAAGCATTATAGGCCTGGCAGGTTCTACACGAGGCTTGAGCAATAGCCCAAGAAAACACAAGACTGTCAGGCAGTGAAAAGCGATGGGAACACTACAGGTTTTAGGTTACTGAAGGGATCATTGCCTGTTTTGCTCTGCTTACTGGGTAGCAGAGGACAATTGTTGCTGTTAGCTGCATCAAAATAAAACCATGATGATATGAAGGCATTAGCAGGTTCATCCTCACAAGAACTGCAAGGAGTAGTTGAAGCCCCTGTTATCCAGGTAAGTTCAGGCTACAACATAACTCGTTTAAAGCTGGGCAAAATGAAGAACAGCTAGGAAGTTGGTAAGGAAGCTAATGAGAGCGCAGCTAGTAAAAAATAAGCTCATCGAAAATTTACCATGAAACTGGTAAATGAGTTAATTGAAACAAACATTTAAGGTAGCAGATTGCAAAAAGAGATGAGGAGCCACAGAAAGCCAGTTAGGCGCAATTGATGTGACCAAAGCTGCCATTAAAAGCAACGAGAGGAAGTGATGACATGTTCTTGTAACATATGAGTGGTTCGAGCATAGCGAGGACTTTGGAGATGATTTGGTACATATCAGATTGTGTTTAAAAAGGAAAGTTTTTCAGTAAAGGAACTCTGCCCTTCAGAATCTGATATGCCAAGTAGCAGTGATACTTATTCAAGCTGCAAGTTGACTAGCTGAGCATTTTTCATGAATTTCAGTGAGACAGGGGATATTCACCTGTGAAAAAGCCCAGTAGAGACTTAGACCTTCATGTTCTTAAGGGATTAACTCAGTAAAACATGGGATGAGCATTCTACAGGAGGTTAAAATTTTGAAGAAAATTGGCATCTAAACCTGCAGGAAAAGACTGCCAGTTTATGAGGAGATTTCTGCAGTAGCTGGTAAATGGACACATTACAAATCCAGACCAAAAAAAAGTCAAGAAGCTGGATAGAAAATCTGGAGGAGATAGGTAGGCCTGTGGGCCTCTCTGGATGCTATGGGAAGACCTGTATAGCATCTTCAGGGAGCCTAGAGCACCCTTTTACCGGTTGACCGAGGGTTGTACGGGCCTGGGGGATACCAATGAGCTCAGAAATTCTTCAGAGAGGTCAGGTTTCATCTACAGGTGGCTCAGTACTTACCTCCTGACATTCCAACAAGTCCTTTGGTTTCAACCAATGTATATCTCATGTGCCAGTGAGTATCATTTCTGTGCCAAAAATGCTATTCTGTGATCTTGGCAAACACTTATTTTGCGGCTGCACAAGGAAAGAGCAGCGTCTACCTCCCTGAGCTGCACATGGACAACAGGAGTAAAAGCAGCAATGATTATTTAGTCACTCAAGTCAGCAGATCTAACAAATGGAGGAAATCTGCTGGAAGGACATTATTTAACATACTCAGTTTTCTAAGCACAATTGCACTTTAAAGGGCAACTTTAAAGGCAGAAAAAAATGTAAGTATTCTTGTGCTAGCAAGAGAGGAGAACTATGTCGAGGCTCCAACAACAGTATGGCTGGAGGATAATGTGATTGTCCATCTGCAAATGTACAGCTGGACAGGCAGATGTATATGACGCTCTCTCTACACACATATCCATATACCCGTGCATGCCTAACTGTACAAGAATCTGTACATACATACAGAAAGTAGGTCTCTGCATGTGTAGACTTAGGAATGTATGCATATGCATGTACACACGCACAAACAGAGGGCAGGTATATCATGCACCCTTTCAACCAGTACTTAAGGGGTCTAGCTTAAGTGGAGGCTGCTACCACTGCCCAAGCTGCAAGCTCAGGTCCGTACCAGTCTATTCATCTGCATGATCACACCTGATGTCTGCTCTGAGGCCTGGCTTCCCAGTGCGGGAGACAGATCCCAGAGGATGTTGTTTGTAGTAAAACCCTTATGCAATGATTTGCCTGTTTCTTCGAATCCAAGTTTTTTTTCCCCATTTGCACAAACCTGGAGATGCAAACTTATTGGGCCCTCTCAGTCATAAAACAGCTCGGAGGTGCTTTTCTGAAAATACACAATATCTGCAGTTTATTTTTTGATTTGATATTGGGGGGTTGGGGGTGTTCAAGCATCGGCTTTTCCTCAGACATATATCCCATGGATGACTTGGGGCAGAGAGTCTAGTCCTTCACCAGCCGGTAGATGTGATGCTGGGCACCGTGGTCACTAGTTGACACCTCAAAAACATATGCTATGCACAGCAAGGTCTCTTGTGTGTCCCTGTTTGTCACAACCTAGAAAGAAACGGAGAGGAAGCTGAGATGACAACTGCTATTGCTCTGCTTACAAATTCCAACACGTTCAACATGGAGCAGAAAGTCAACAATAGGCAAAAACCAAAGTATCTAGAAGGAGACACAGCTCAGCTACCACCACCCCCAACTCAAGTGGCCACACGCCCAGCAGCAGAAACCCTCTACTCCTTCCCAAACACCAAGACAACAGAGCAGTGAAAAGACTGGGAGGTGAGCAGAGTCCAACAAGGGAGAAAGAAAACTGAGGATCAAGCAGTGACTGCAAACAGGGAAGTGGGTTTATTTGGCCCAGGGAAGGTGATCCTCTTCGAGAGCAAGCACATGGTTCCTTTCCTTGAAGGGCCAGCACCCCACCCAACCAGGCGTCCACCCTGTCCTGTTGCAGATTTCAGGAGCGAGGAAGTGCTTTGTAGGAAACTTCTCTCTGCTCTGTTCTTTGGGTTTTGAGAGGCCACCTGCTGCGGCACATCTGCTCGCTGAGGATCACAGTACTTCTCACGACACAGGAGACACGCACGTTGCACCCCTTTACACCCCCCACTCCGTAGGCTGCAGGTGGCAGCAGACCGACGGCCGTCACGCTCAGGTGCTCTTACAGAAGCTGCTTCTCTTTTTGCATCTCTTTCTTGGTGGTACCTTTGGAAGCTCTGCAACCTAGTGTGGCATCCCTGAACCACAGTGTAGCCTGGTGGTGGAGTAGAGCTGTCTAAGCCCCAGAAGCACTCACTGCCTGGGCTGCACGGCAGCCACAGGACTGCTGCACCCAGAGCTTCTAGCTCAGCTCCTCCCTCGCCCATATGTCTGACACCTCAGATCTTTGCACACTCTCCTAACTCAGGCTTGTGCCATAGCTTAACACTCAAGCACTGCTTTCCTGCTGGAGGGGCAACATTTTGCTCAGGAATAGCACCGACTCATCTGCAGAAGAAAAGGACAGCAGCTGGGGGCCTGTTCTGTACCAAAGCACAGCCACCCTTGTGCAAAAGAAAGCAGATTTTTTCAAAAGCTTATTGTAGCAAATTGACTTTAGCCTAACCTTTTTTTCTTTATGATAGGCTAACACTTCTTTCCTCTGCAGACAGAGTTTTGAATCGTCTGCGTCTGGGAATGGTAAGGCTCCACAGCCCCATCCAAAAATAGACACCAAAATGGGTTCTGAAACTCAGCATTGGATTTAGAGCTATGTGCAAAGCATGATAGACTATAACTGAGAGTGCAGTGGCATCCAAACTCATAAAAGGGTCTAGAAAAAGAATAATTAGACTTGCCTCAGAACTTGGCAGGGAGAACCCAGGACTAGCAGCATGCTTTGCATTAAGAATGACCATTTCTCAGCAATCTGTTGGGGGGTGGAAAATTCTCAGCCTGCCACTCAGGGAACAGGACTGCAAGATTACAACAGAAAGATGTGAAAGGCCATGCCAGCATCCACATTAAATCTGCTTCTCTGTGGCTGCAGGTAAGTGCAGGGCATGAGATTATTCAGAAGAAGGTCTCAAAGGAAGTATATCTATATGACAACTTTGTTCATAAATTTAGAGGAAGCCCAGGCCTGACTGAGGAATAATGTGTGCATAAAGCAGTTGCAGCTTTCCTCCTCATGAATTACAGCACACAGGCCTTTCATCTTTCTTTGCTCACCTTAAAAAAAAAAAAAAACATAGAATTTGTGTTCAGCATTTCTTGCAGGCACTAAGAGGTTGGTACAAACATGAAAAAGTACAAAAAAAAGCCTTCTAAAGCCCTGTCGGGTAGCTAGGTTCTATTCACCTTGCTGTATAGCTCAAGTACCTGCACCACAGGGCAGTGAAATGAACTGCTTGAAGTCCCACAGGATCTTCAATAGATGGAATGAAAACTACTTCATTTCCACTCTTTCACACTGCTTCTAGTATTTCTTCCACTTGCCCAGCCTCAGGTTCTCTGAGGGAAGATCTCACAGTCCATTAAGAAAATACACCTTTTAAGATATCTTTGCCCTCTTCTCTCCTTTTGGATTTCCAGAGCCTGGAAAGGCTACATAGACAATAATGGAAATCTAGTTATTGTAGCCTTATAGTACTGCCATAGCTAGAGTCTGCAGCACTTCACAAAGGTGTCTCAGTGCTTCTTGTGTCCCTCCCTCTACATTCCTTCCAGGCTCAGGATAGACCTGAAGAATCAACCTTTTACTTATACTTGCTAAGGATGGAGAATGCTCTCTATGTCAAAGCTGTATGGACACTTGACAGTGTTCTTGCTTTTTTACCTTGCAAAAGGGGCCTCAATGTCTGTCTTCTAATAGAACACGATTTTTTCTTAGTGCAACTTTTGCATTCTCCACCTTCCTGTATCTCTCTCATCAGTTCTCCCTTCATCTTGCTTTTCTTACTCTTACTCAAACCTCTCTTTTTTTTTTCTCTTGCTTCTCTGTATGAGCTATGCTCTCTAGAGTTCTATAAATTGTCCTAAGGTGCAATTTGCATGAGAGAGACTAAGTTCAGTTAGATACTGAGGTGTAACAGGAAATCTGCTTTGACTTATAACTGTCAACTCTTTTTTTTATGAGATTTTTACGTCTCCAAGCTTCATCAAAAACAATTTGATGTCCCACCTGTAAGATAGTAAAGTTCTCCAGCACACTGTTCATCATATACTTTTCAGGGAGGTGCTTAAGTTTATGGATGAAGTTAATCATGTATTCACAGAGAGGGGAGCGGTGGATGCGATAGGAATAGTGTCCATTTTCATAGCGTGCATACTCAGTCTGCAACATAAAACAGAAAGAGGGCGTGTGGGATCAATGTTATCACATTCATCTCATAAAGGGACTCAGAACAGAAAAATTACCTTGACATTTTTAAGTCATTTTACTCGTGGTAATGAGCCAATTAATCATTCCTGTACAGTCCTCCTCAGCAAGGCCAGAAGCTGACACTGGATTGTATCACTTCACAGCAACCCCCTAAATGCCTTTTACCTCCTTTCATTCTATAGGTTTGATGGTGCATGAGAGAGGACATCCTTGGCTTATGTATCCCATTTTATGACCACACAGAAATTCATAACTAGAGTTCAGACAGGCCTATCATGTGGCTGGAGATGGGTCCTAATGAAGAATGTAGCCTAGAGTTGACTACTGACACTAGAATGCAGGTTTGTGAACCTTTGGCACATAGAGGCTGCTTGAGAAAGAAGACACCAAGCAGTGGGTCAGAGCAGCTCTCTTAGCAAGTGAATCTGCCATCAGAAAGAAGAAATTATTCAATGCTATATGTAAACAGCCCTGCTGCTGCTAGAGCTGTATGTATACAAGCACTATAAGTACTAAACTAACATAAGCCTCATAAAACAATAAACCTATAGTCTCTCTCTATATGTAGTCTATAAGTTACTATATTCTATTAATTTGTGACTAAACTCTATAAATAATCTGTTTAAAAGCACTGAGAAGAATGCAGTATTGTCTATTTGCTTTCAGCTTTTTGGACTACAAAGACATGGGCCTATTGTTTCCCAGCTTTTCTCTGCTCCCCCCCAAAAATGAGTCTCACGTATTCACACGTCTTCAGAAACTGAGACTTAAGGAGAAGAAAAAAAAAAAAAAAAAGAGCAAACAGTACCAGACCTTCAATGAAGTCTTGAGAAAAGGTTATGTTGCAGGCTGGAGCATTCTTACACCTGCATGTCTCAGAAATAATAATCTATGTCATGAATGTCAGTGCTTCTCCAGTCCATCTCCCCAAAAAAGCATGGGATATATTTTGCCTTGAGATATATGCAGCATGCAAGTACTTGCAGCAGCCCTGAGAGAGCCTTGCATCCAGGCGGCTGCTGCATACCTCCACTTTCTCCACCACCTGCTTTCCAAAGGAGCATACTTTAGTGGAACAGGTAATGACCATGTTTTCAGGGCTCTCATACTGGCTGGAAACGCCATAGAAAGATCCGGATTCGTCTTCAATTTTGGTGTTCAAATCAGCCTGCAAAAGAATTAAAAAAAAAAAAAAAAAAAAGCAAGAAGAATAGATGGTTATTATGTGTGGTGGTCTTTACCATGAAACTAAAAGAGTTTTGCTTGGCCAGGATGGGAAGGTACTGGAGTACCCAAAGCTCTATAATCATTAACGGGTATGAAACAAGTGGATGAAATTTAAAATATAAATAAATAAATAAATGAAGGAATAGTCTGATCTTTAAAGATCTATGACACAGACTGACGCCTCAACTGATGTTTAGCATCACGGAACATGTGCCAGAATGCCATGCAGAAGCACACGGAGGGCAGACAGGGCGATGTGACAGATAAACTAGACTGTGCTGCCTCCCACAGGAGGAAAAGGAGAAAAGATAAGGACACAACTGCAATAGAGGGTTTTGCTTCTCTTATTCACCCCCCCTTCTGGAAATGCTGATGAGGGGAAAGGAACTAAGGAGGGGGAAAACGACAGTGAGGGAAAAGCATGAGATACGGTGAACCTGACTATGTGAATATATGATATGAAGCATACAAGAAGACAGGATGCCCCACGAGGAAGGCAGCTTGCTGGGAGAACCAGCCCGGCTCCGGCCAGCCGCATGAGCAGCCCACTCTTCAAACGCTGCTCCCCACCACCTAAGCTCGAATATCAGTTGAGAGGTGCCTCCTTCGCCCCCAATACGCGGCTCGCCGCAGCTTCCAGCAGGGGTCAGTCCAGCCCTGCCTCAGGAAAGGGGAGCGGCGATGCTTCCCTGCGCCCCGCGGGCTCCGAGCAGGCGGCAAGGCCGAGCAGGCGGGAAGGCCTTTCCGCTTCCCCTCCGTGGTGCTCGTCAGTACTCAGTAAGTCCAGTGCTAAATCACACGACCCCAACCCCAGGGAGCGGTTCCCCGGGTTCTTTCAGCCTGTTCTATTCTTCCCGCTGAACTGACGGAAACGGGAAGCAGTGTCCCAGCTATATATGGCACACTCTATTGCCCTGCCCGCAACGACAAAAGGACTCTGTATTAAACACAGTTCTAGCATGTTTTTCTTATACAGTGTCACTGGAAACAGAATCACAGAATAGTTAAGGTTGGAAGGGACCTCTACAGATCATCTAGTCCAACCTTCCTGCTCAAGCAGGCACACCTACAGCATGTGGCACAGGGCAGCATCCAGGCGGGTTTTGAAGACCTCCAGAGAAGGAGACTCCACGACCTCCCCGGGCAGCCTGTGCCAGGGCTCTGTCACCCTCACAGTAAAGAAGTTCCTCCTCACCTGCAGACGGAACTCCCTGTGCTCCAGCTTGTGGCCATTACCCCTCGTCCTGTCGCTGGCCACCAATGAAAACAGCCTGTCCCCTTCCTGCATTCTCCCTTCCTGAACTTATACATGTTAATCAGATCCCCTCTCAGCCTTCTCTTCTCCAGAGAAAACAGGCCCAGTTCACTCAGTCAAGCTTTTTTTTTCTCCAAAAACCCTTTTTTATCCCAAATCTGGAGTCGCCTTTAAGAGAGGCAATGTTTTCTTTGCCATGCACGTTACCTGGCCTTCCCTACAACACTGTTTCACCAGTGCCGTCAGCTTATTTCCCCGCGGCAGCCATTACACGGGGGGTTCCCCTCCGCGTCCCCCTGTGCTGCAGAACGCAGCAGTGCTGCTGCCTGCCCCTACCCAGCCACGCACCCTCGTGCCACCATGAGCCGCCGGGCGGCTCCGCCACGGGCCAGGCCACAGAGCTGCTCCCAGCCGCAACGCTTTGTTTTGCTGTGGTTTTTTTGCTGGATTAGGCATTCAAGCAAGCTCACCCCAATGCCCACGTGGCTGCACGGGCGGGARGAGGTGGGCACAGGCRCTCACAAAAGCTGAGGGTGCGGGGCTGCCTACTCCGATRGCGGCGCAGACTCAGCTTTTGCAAAGCTCATGCCTCAAAGCTCCAGTTTGAGMAACACCAGCGTGGTCCTGCCACCAAACGCAGTCTCACTGTCCCACAGCCGTTGTGCCTCCCCATACCTCTTGTACCGGCACAAACTTTTTTTTTTTTTTTTCCTGGATGTAGCACAAAATTGAGGAACTGCTCAGTTAGTTCTCAATAGGATCAGCTCCCAGACCAGGTTCAGAAATGCTAGCGTCCATTCACACTATGAACATGCTTTGGCAGGTTGGACAGTAGGGCAAAAATGGAGTGCAGGACTGCTGCTTAGGGCAAAAAAATTTCACAGAATCACAGAATTCTTAAGATTGGAAGGGACCTTTAGAGATCACCTCGAGCAGAAGATCTGCAAAACAGAAAGTCGTTACAGTGGGCAGTGTATCTCCAATAACACCTCCTAAATTAGCAGTTACAGGATTTGGTTAATTGTAGCCAGGTTCAGTCCAAGTGAGATAAAGGAATGGCTAAAGGGGATCAACAGCGGCTGGCAGCACCAGGGATGAACACATAGGTTTCACCCTGACACTAATACAGAGGACATGTGATGCTGTTACGAGATCATAACAGCACAGTATTTAACTGTGCTATTTAACAGTATTTGTACATGATCACAAATACCTCCTCAAAATGACATATTCTTGTTTGCAACACTTTCCACCTACATTATCTTCACCACGGATTAGAGATTAAAGAAATCTTTTTCTCTGAAGTAGCGACAAGTATTTAACTATTGTAAATCAGCTTGATTCTACTCAAATAACAGGATCACACCAGTTTACAGCAGCTTTGCACCCATGTCTTTTATGTCTACTTATATTTGTCAGCTCCTACACTACATAGAGAAGAATAACCTTTGATTTATCAGGGAATAGTAGTACAAGGTTGATAATTATTTGTTTTCCTCATATTTGCTTCTCCATGGGAGATAATTTAACTAAACATTGTTTCACTAAACGATTTATCCAACTGAGTATGTTCTTATCTTCTCTTGCCATATTATCTCTTCTTGGCCTGACAATTTTCTGCCTCCTCCTTGTGTTGAAAACAGATTTGGGACCCACAGATCAAACCACATCAATAAAACAGCTTGGGTTTAACATTTATCTTAACTATTTTTAAATCATTTTATATCATTTGGATTGCAACCACTGAAACGGTGATAACACCTCCACAAGATTTGGAAACAAGTGGTTGGAAGAAGACCGGAAATCTTCACGTTGGCATGACCACCAGAAGACTAATGCAGTGTCGTTCTCCCATGGCTCATGTATACTTATGTCTGGCGCTTATGTGTAAAGTTATAGCAAGTTAGCTGTAAGTCAGTAGCTCAAATGCTTACAGGAACAAGGCACAAGCTTGTTCCTGTAAGTCCTACCGACTTCTTCATAATTTGGGCTGCTAGTAATTCTTTATTGCTCATGTTGAAGTCCTTCCTATCAAATGTTCCCCACTATGAACTGATCCAGCTACTTTGCTCCTACCACAAATATGTATACATTGGAGAGTAGAAAGCTACTCTTTTCTGGTTCAGGTATTATCAGGTTATTGTATGCCTCTTTTTCCGTAACAATTCAGCTCATTGGATTGTTTACTTGATCCACACTTCAGCTGTGTGAAGAAAGATTAATTCTTCCCCTTCTCCAAATCGGAACCTGACTGGGCATACTTTACAATATTATTTAGTCATTTTCTTGGGGGTTAACTGATAAGGATGGACCAAATCCCACTTTCCAAATAAACTGCCTCGCTGAGTCAAAAGAGCGAAGGGGCAAGGCCACCCAGTGCAAGCGATAGCTTGGTCTGACCACAGCTACATAAACATACAGGAGGCTCTCCCTGCAGAACCAGATGAAGGTTTCTAGGTTTTCACCAATAAAATGAGGGTCACATTCTCATGAACTTTTAAAATACGATAAATTCAAAAACAAGTGCAAACAAGTGCAGAGGTAAAGCAGAAAGATCTTAGGTTCACTTCATGAGAAGCTTGACAGAAGATGCATAAGAAGCTACTGCAGGTGCCTCCACAAATTGGCAAGTGTCCCATGGGAAGAGCCTGTAGCATTTCACACCTAATTAACACTCAATTAATCATCATTAAACTATTTGGCAGGAAACAAAACTTGTTTGTAATATTAAATTAAGCAGACATCACCGTTCACTTACATTTTCTCCAAAGAGTTTCCCTGGGAGCCCTATCCCAGTGAAGTAAGGGGGTCGTGTTTGAACTGCATGATGTTTACACTGCACCCTTTATTCCAAAGCACTTACAGGCTGGGATTTTCAGGTATGTCTTAGGGAGCCAGTCAGCAAATTGGGACCCGCATCTCCTTCTCCCCCCTCTGAAGGTATCAGCACATAAACACTCAGACAGGACATTTCAGTAACTCCAGAAAATAATAACAGCAGAGAGCCAAGGGTTCTGACTAGTGCTTGCAGAAAATAGAGCTGCAGCATCTCAGACAGATAGGATATTACCCCAAGCTGATGGCTTCCACCTTCTAATGGAACCTCCTGTTCCTGTAACAGGGACGATTTATCACATATATCTGCACTTGAATTGTTTCCAGCCTGGTTTAGTCATGTAAAACGAATATGGCTACAACGAGCAAAGAATTGCAGAAGTTCAGGAGTGGAACAACAACTTGTTCAGCTTTTCCTGCTATGGAAATGACTACTTATGGGAAGGCAAAGACTGAAAGAAGTAACATCATTACCTGCCATAAACAAAACCAACCTGTAAATGCAACCTGGAGACTCAAGTCCCAAATAGATATGGTTGAACTTCCCAGTGTTACACCAGGGCAAAATCTTACTGTTCATCTTGGGTCTTTAATAAATAAAAAAGCTACTGCTTTGAGGGTAGCATCTACAAATGCTACAGTCAGCATGCTCAGATTTCCAAGAGTTCCTCACAACACCTAGGCCAGCAGGACGATTACTGCTTTGAGAAAAGGCCTCCTCCTTTCTCTGCATTTTGAAAGTTTCCTTCTCTGTGGAAAAGTTTATTCCAAACCATACCCAGTGCTGCCAGCATATCTCCCTGCCCAGTCTGTACCAGGCACAACACGGAGCAGAGAAAGGTCTACTCTGCTGTCTCCAATACATT